TTAAGTTAGTCATTTAAATTCAATTAAGTAAAATAATATAATTGAGATCATTTGTGGTTAGGTTGTTAAAATACAGGTATAAAGTCTCGCGCTCGACGCAACCAACACGTGGTATCAGAGCACGGTCACCGTAGAACAAGGTTCAACGACCTCCGGTGCTAATCGAAATGGCGTCGGGTTCCAAGAATAATGCTCCACTCTATTTGGCTGACGGATTCTCTCAAAATCGGCCTCCCAGGTTTGAAGGAGTTAATTATGGATATTGGAAAAATCGCATGGAATTATTTGTTGGATCTACAGATCCAAAACTCTGGGCTAGAGTCATCAAGGGTCCGTATGAGCTCAAGGAGGATCAAGAAAAATGGACAGACGATGACTTCGAGAAATTTCAGCAAAACTGCAAGGCAACTAATCTCATGTACTGCGCTCTCGGTCCGGAAGAGTATCACAAAGTCGCAGGGTGCAAGACTGCTAAGGAAATCTGGGATAAACTCCAGGTTACTTATGAAGGTACTTCTCAAGTCAAAACTTCTCGAATTAATTCCTTAAAACAGCAATTCGAGTTGTTCAAGATGGAAGAAGGAGAAACTATTCGTCAAATGTACGAACGGTTCACAAACATAGTGAACAGTTTGGAGAATCTTGGAAAATCATACGAAAGTGGAGATCTTGTTAGAAAAATTCTATGGAGTCTCCTAGAGCAATGGACTCCAAAGGTAACCGCAATAGAGGAAGCTAAAGATCAAGAGAAGTTAGCTATAGATGAACTCATCGGGTCATTAGCAACTCATGAGGACAAGCTCAACAAGGGAAATCATGATAAAGAAAAAAAGGGGATAGCCTTCAAGGCTACCACATACAGTGAAGACACAGAAGATCTCGATGATATGGAGGATGAAGAATTGGCTCTACTAAGTAAACAAATTAGTAGACTACTTCGAGTAAGAAGAGAAAAACGAAGAGGAAACTTCTTCAACAAGAATAGAGAAGTTGAGAAAGAAGGTGGTACATCAAAATACCATCAATCAAGAACTTTCCACAAAAGCAGGATTGAACAACTTCAGCCGGTTAAGGTTCAAAACACAGCCGGATGCTTTAGATGTGGGAAAAATGGGCATTTCAAGGCTGAATGCCCTCTAGCAAGAAAAGAACAAGCCATGGCTGCAACATGGAGCTGTAGCGAAGAAGAAGATGAGGATGGAGAGGAAACAAGAGAAGAAAGCTACATGGCAATTGATGTTGAAGAGCCATCAGAAGGACATAACTCAAACGAGGTAAAACCTTCCAACCATACTCATTTCAGTGACAGTGATTACTATAGTGATGATGATCTATTAGTTTCCACTATCAAGGAAATTGAGTTAGAGTTTGGAAATGTCAAAGTAAAATACTCTAAACTGAAATCTGATCATGCCAAAATAAACATTGAATATGATAAATTAAAGAAGGAGGCGATCAGATTAAAAGAAGAGTTAGATGAAACTGCTAAGAAAGTTGAAGTTTTAGAAAATGAGAAAACGTGTCTCACAGCAAGACTTCAAATATCATTAGAAGGAAATAAGATTGAATCTATGAAAAAGGAAGGTAAATCTTACCTAAATCAGTCCACAAAGGGACATGGTGGAAAATTAGGATCAAGTTCATGTAGTAAAGGTAAGTCGAAAATTTTTGAAGAATCAATAAAGCATGAGAGGAATGGAACACAAAAACAAGGATATAGAAACATAGAATGTTTCTATTGTCATAAATTTGGGAACATTAGGCGAGTTTGCAGAAAGAGAATACAAAATGAAAACTATAGAACTTGTTTTACTTGTCATCAAGTCGGTCACATTAGTAGATTCTGTTCTCTTAAAGATCACAAACAAACTGTATCCAAGAAAGTCTGGATACAAAAACCCAAAACTGCATGACTGCTAATGGCGCAGGTTTGCTTCCAAGTGAGCATGGAGGCAACAGAATGGATACTAGACAGTGGATGCTCACACCACATAACGGGAAATCGAAACCTATTCACCACTCTCAAAGAAGGTAAAGGTGGTAAGGTATTTTTTGGTGACAATAATTCTGCCGACATAATAGGAAGAGGAATAGTTGGTTCAGATCCATGCATTGAAAATGTGATGTTAGTAAAAGGTCTTAAGCATAATCTGTTTTCTATTAGTCAAATGTGTGGCAAAGATAAGAGGATATTTTTGAACATGATTGTTGCTACATCGAGTCTTTGGTGGATAAGAAAGTGCTTTTCACCGGTAGACGTAAAAATAAGTTATATGTCATAAATCTAGATGATAAAGAAAGTTTTAAGGTAACCTGTCTAATGTCTCTAGAGCAAAATGATCAGATAGATTGGCATAGGAAGCTTGGTCACGTGAGTATAGGGACTTTGTCTAAACTAAGTGACCTTGAGCTAGTCAAAGGTCTACCTAAGTTAAAAGGCAAGAAGGAATTCTTTTGTGATGCGTGTGCTAAAGGAAAGCATACAAGGTCTAGCTTCAAGAGTAAGACGGTAATATCCACAACAAGACCTCTTGAATTACTTCATCTTGATCTCTTCGGACCTACCAATGTGGTAAGCTATGGAATTAAGTCTTATGCTTTCGTAATTGTGGATGACTATTCTCGTTTCACTTGGGTATTGTTTCTAGCTAGCAAAAGTGAAGCTTTTTAAAATTTTGAGTCTCTAACTAGGAAATTGGAGAATGAAAAACAATCTAAGTTTGCTAGCATTAGAAGTGATCATGGTGGATAATTTATCTCAAAAGAGTTTGAACTCTTCTGCAATAAGCTAGGAATAAGTCACAATTTTTATGCTCCTCGAACTCCGCAACAAAATGGAGTGGTGGAAAGGAAAAATCGGACTTTGATTGACATAGCTCGAACAATGTTACATGACTATGGTTTACCTAAGTACTTCTGGGCTGAAGCCATAAATACTGCATGCTATATTACTAATCGAGCTTTGATCAGATCTGGAATTAAGAAGACTCCTTATGAGATTTGGAGAGGAATAAAACCCAATCTGAGTTATTTTCATCCCTTTGGTTGCAAGTGCTTTGCATTAAATACCAAAGATCATCTTGGGAAGTTTGATGCCAAGTCCGATGAATGTGTGTTTTTAGGCTATTCTATGACTAGCAGAGCATATAGAATATTCAACAAAAGGACTCTCAAAGTGGAAGAGTCCATAAATGTGATATTTGATGAATCTGCTAATGAGTGTTCAGATGAGATAGATGAAGATGACTTTGGACTTGGTGGGAGCTCTGATCTACCAAGGACATCAAACACGGAGAAATCTGAAACCAGAACGAACATATCTGAAGACCAAGATAAAGCAGTAAGTACTACAAACTCTCAGATCGAGCAAAACCATGAAGTAAGACAACCTCCTCCTCATATTGCCAAATGACATCCTTCTTCACTTATGATAGGAGGGCTTAATGAAGGTATGGTCACTCGCTCTAGAAATTCAATTGTGCATACTGCTTTTGTGTCATTAATTGAACCTAAAAACGTGCAAGATGCCTTGAATGATGAAAACTGGAATGCTGCTATGAATGATGAAATGAGTCAGTTTGAACGAGCTAATGTGTGGGAGTTAGTTCCCAGACCTCCCAATAGAGTTATTATCGGGACTAAGTGGATCTACAAGATCAAGTCAAATGAAAATGGGGTAGCAACTAGAAATAGGGCTAGGCTGGTAGCTAAAGGGTATAATCAAGAAGAGGGAATTGATTTCGATGAAACCTTTGCTCCGGTAGCTAGATTAGAGGCTATTAGAATGTTATGTGCATTTGCTAGCTCTAAGGGTTTCAAACTTTTTCAAATGGACGTCAAAAGTGCCTTTCTAAATGGGGATTTAAAAGAGGAAGTGTATGTGGAACAACCACCCGGTTTTGAAGACTTTAGATACCCAAACCATGTCTATAAATTAAAGAAGGCACTATATGGACTTAAACAAGCACCAAGAGCATGGTATGAAAAACTTAGTTCTTATCTCTTAGGAGAAGGCTTTAAAAGAGGCTCAGTGGATAAAACTCTCTTTATAAAAAATAAAGGACAACATATGCTACTAGTTCAAATATATGTTGATGACATTATATTTGGATCTTCTAGCAAAGAGTTGTGCGAGTATTTTGAAAGTATCATGAAGAAAACTTTTGAAATGAGTGCCATGGGAGAATTAACATATTTTTTAGGTTTGCAAATTAAACAAACAACTCGAGGTATTTTCATTAGTCAAACCAAATACATTCAAAATATGTTAAAACGTTTTGAATTTGGGAATTTAAAAACTGCAAATACACCTATGGCCTCTACAATTAAATTAGACAAGGATGAGTAGGGCAAGTCAGTTGACGAGAAGTTTTATAGAGGAATGATTGGGTCGCTAATGTATCTCACTACTAGTAGACCCGATATTCAATTCAGTGTGTGTCTATGTGCTAGATTTCAAAGTGCCCCTAAGGAAAGTCATATGACTGCAGTCAAGAGAATCTTTCGTTACTTGGCGGGTACAATGGATCTAGGTCTGTGGTATGGTAGTGAGTCAAGTCTTGAGTTAATTGGTTATAGTGACTCAGATTATGCTGGATGCATAGTTGATCGTAAAAGTACTTCCGGGACATGTCAATTTCTAGGAAATTCACTTGTGTCTTGGTTTAGTAAGAAACAAAGTTCTGTTGCTCTCTCCACCGCTGAGGCTGAATACGTGGCCGCAGGCCTCTGTTGTACTCAAATCCTTTGGATGAAGCATCAAATTTGTGACTATGGGTTAGAAATAAAGTCCATGCCCGTATTGTGTGACAATACGAGTGCCATTAACATGGCAAGAAATCTCGTGCAACATTCTCGAACCAAGCACATAGAAATTAGGTATCATTTCATTCGAGAATTGATTGAAGAAGGCCAAATTCAGCTTGAGTTTGTGCCTACAACAAATCAATGGGCCAATATTTTCACTAAACCTCTATGTGTGGACCAATTTCTAACTATTCGTCGAGAACTAGGGCTTATTCTGTCTAGTGAAATTAACGATTTAGGTTAAGCTTTTCAAGGTCTGATTATGGCCTCTTGGTCTGATCATAATCAGTGGGCTAAGCCTTCTTAAACACATTCAATGTGTGTCCTCGGCCTTCATTCTCTAAGCCCCTCACCAGGCCTTGTGGGCCTAAGCCCAGCTCACTCTCCTGTCCATCTCCCAGCCTTTCGTGAGATTCCTGCCTGTTCAGTCCCCTCATTCGAAATCCTCTGCTAGCGCCGCTCACTCGGGTTGTGGGCATAAGCCTAATCTTCACCCTAGCAGACTCTCTTTGTCGCTCGTGTGATTCCAGTTCAGCAAAATAGTGGCGCCTTTCGTTTTTCAGCGACTGCCTAAAATCCCTAAGCTTCTGTTCGAGCAAATCACTAATTTCCTCATCCCTCCTACCACCTTCAATCGGTATAGACTGAGGGTTAATGGATATATCAATGACCTTGAGTGGAGTTCTCTGCTTCAGAATCGACTCCTTGATCAGTGCCCTGAAGCTGTGAGAATGTCCTACGCGAGTATGCAGTGCAGTCCTAGACGTTATCCGTCGTATTTCACCACCACCGTCTACAATTTCAGTGTGACGGTTACTGCTGATATGTTGGCTACCCTGTTGCATCTCCCTCATGGTGGTTACCAAGCCGGAATTGCAGAAGACTTTGACAGCTATGGGTTCCACCCCATAGACACAATGTCTTACTTAGGTAGTGATTACGGGAGTCACCAGCTCTAGATGTTTTCCGTTGAGCGGCTACCGGATGATCTGAAGGCCCTGCAGTTCTACATCAGTCACGTGTTTCTCCCTCACGCTGCTGAATAGGCCACCATTCTAGACGAGTCCGATATCTGGATTCTGTTCAACGCAAAGACAAGCTACCCGATCAGCTATGTCTCCCTGATGTTTAATCACATGATTAAATATCAAGATGAAGAGTGTAGCAGGAAGCTTCCTTTTGGCCCACAAATCACCTATCTGCTAGCAATCTTAGGGGTTGATTTGCGTGGATATACATTCAGACCTTCAAGCCCAACATGTTCTACGCCGCACTCTCTCGGAGCTTGGACCTCGAAAACTTGCCAAAGTTCAAGGGGGAGACAAATCTGCTCAGTCTGAATCCGAACCTGAATCCGAACCTAATGAAGACGACTCGTCGGAGTATGCTTCGTCTCCGGATTACGGCTACTAGGAACCGTCGACTACTAGGCTTAGGGGGAGATCCATAGATGAATTAGGCCTACTAGGAACCGTCGACTACTAGGCTTAGGGGGAGATCCATAGATGAATTAGAGTTAGTTGAATGGTGTGGTTTAGGTTAATCAAGTAAAAGTCTGTTGTCTCCTTTATGAAGTGGGTTGGTTTAATCAAGTAGAAGTTGGATGTCTCTTTTATGTTTGAGTCATAGTCTGTTGGGTCATTGTTCTTTGCTTGACTGAGTTTAAACTTTGTCATGTTGAGTCACTGTGTTGAATGTACCTTGATTACTATTTTTACGAATAAAAATGGACTCCCAGTTGTCTTTTCAACTCATGATAGCTCTTAGTTGTTTGTTGGACAGGCTACACCAACGGTTTGCTTAAGTGTGCAGGTTCTGATTATTAGCAGATTAAGAGTGAAGCTTTGACAAGTTTAGTCTGAAGTTAGTGACATCCTGTTCAGGGGGAGAATGTTGGCCATTGACAGCTTAGGGGGAGAATGTTGGAACAAGCTAGTCAAAGGCCACTTGAGAAGGAAAGAAGATCAGGAGCAAACATGGAAAGAAGGAGAAAAAAAATAAGAGGAGAGATCAAATTAAAGAGATTTGGTACAACAATGCAAATCAAATCAGAAGATGGAATCTCAAGCAAATCATCACTAATAAGGGAAGGTATTTGAATTAGCAACGGTTACTTGGCAGCCTATAAAAGGCGATTTGAAGGAAGAGCAATGTAACCTTTCAAGAGATCAAAAACTAGCTAAGCCAAAAGGGGATTTTGTGAGAATAGCTAGAGTGATAGGAAAGGGGTTTCTCAAAGGGTTCGGGGAGAATCGCTTTGAGGGTTAGTGTTGGGGAAACACTGGTTTCGAGTTGCTGGGGAAGCAATTCGGGTTTGAGAAAAGAGAGTTAGATCAATCGGGTAGAGATTGATCAAAAGGCTCTTGGTAGATCGCTTGTAACGAAGAACTTCAACGCCATATCATAGTGAATCGTCAGAGATCACTCGATCGTGATTCTCTGACCGTGGAGTAGTCAGTATTGGGATCCTCATTCTCCCAATACTGGAAACCACGTAAAAATCGTGTGTTGGGTTTGTTTTCTGACTTTCATTTTCTGTCTGTGTGTTCGTCTGCTTGCACTCTGTTCTTGATCTATTATTGCAGGGGAACTCGGTTCGAGATCCACCAGGAAAGTCGACGGGCAGGACTGAGTCGAGGAAATATCTGGACTTGGGTTTGGTTTAATTGAATTGATTATTACCTGGGTTTGGTTTGTAGTATCTGCACTGTTCTTCCTCTGTTCTTATTTCATCAGAGTGCAGGTCTTGTTTTGATCGAACTTCCAGGAGAGGGAAGGAAGATTTGAGTTTTACTAAAACTCTGTCATTTCCTGTGCTCGGCTCTTAGAAGCAGGGTTGGGTCAAGGATTCGTGTGGGCTGGGATTGTTTTTTTTGGAACGTTAATTAATCAGCCCACCCGAAAGCTACTGGGCTTAGAAGCCCAACCGAGTGAAAAGAGAGGAGTTGCATATATTGTGTAGCTGGGCTTAGAAACCTGATCTGCTTTCATTTCTAGGCTAAATTGAGTGGGCTTGGATTTTTATTAAGTTTAAGTGTAGGTTTAAACGAGGGATTTAGACCAAGGATTAGCTAGCTGTCACATTAAATTAAATTAAGCTTAAGTTAGTCATTTAAATTCAATTAAGTAAAATAATATAATTGAGATCATTTGTGGTTAAGTTGTTAAAATACAGGTATAAAGTCTCGCGCTCGACGCAACCAACACACTTGTCAATCCCCAAATTTTTAGACCCCAATATTCAGTCTAACTGATATAATTTTAGTGATTTTGAATTTTTAACAACATTTATAGCTCCAAAAATTTCCTATTCTGCCAAAACTTGCCCCCTAAAAATTTGAAAATTTCCCCTTCTAAAAAAAATCCCCTTAACCTAAATTTCAAATGAGATGTCCGCCCCTATGCCCTCTTTTATCTCTTCCCATTTACTCTTTCTTCCCCTTTTCAACTTTCCGTCTTTTCCACCCTTCTTCGTTCTCTTCAAAAAACGACCTTCACCTGCTCCTCTACTCTCAAAGAAAACGATGTCTGCATCTCTTCCTTCCTCTTCAAAAAGATCACCGCTAGCTGCCTCCTCTGGCGATACTCAGCGACGGTGGTGGAGAGATTGAGACGACAACGATTGTCGAGATCCGACGACGATGGCAGAGAGATCGAGAGACAAGGGGCGGAGAGATTGACAGGCGACGGGCGTAGAGATCAACAAGCGACGATCAGATAGATCAACCTGAAACAGATGGAGAGATTGACAGGCGACGATGGCGTCAAGCTCAAGTGGTGACGGGCGGATCGAGAGGTTGCGATGGTGGAGGATTCCAGCAAGAGCAATTGGACTACTTTGACTTTTTTTTTTGCAGGTTTTGCTTCGGCACAAGAAGGGGTTTCAGCGGGGTAGGGGCTGAGGGTGAGGCAGTGGAGGTAGGAGGAGATGGTCTCGAAGGCAAGATGAGTTAAGGTCGGTTGGAGATCGAAGAGTACAAGGTCCGGTGCGAGACTAGCGGCCACGGTGGGAGAAGGATTCTGATGTATGCATTTTTTTTCTTGTGTTTGTTATTTTTTTAGGGTTCCAATTTTGGGTTTGAGGAGGAGAAGGAGCAATTCTGGATTTGGTTAGTTTGGATGGGGGTGTAATTGCTGGGTTAGCGAAGCTTTTTTGGGTTTGCGAAACTTTTGTGGGATTGTGAATGAAGAACAAATTGTGATAACAAAACTTTGTTGGATTTGTGAGTTCCTTTTTATGAATTGGGATTTGCGATATGGGCATAATCGACGGAGAATAAAAATCCTTATCTACACTTGTGAAAAAATGTAGTCGTCATAATATACAATTATGACAAAATATAATTGTGTAATATGACGAACAATTCTCTCAAAATCACCAGATTATGACAACAGTAATGACAAAATATTTCGTCATAAGATCTCTGTTTGTCACAATAGACTACCCAGAACCTCAGTTATACTGAAAGCAAATGTGACAACCTTGTTTTAATTTTTTGTCACATTTGACCTATCTTGACAGCGATAAAATGACAAAACTTTGTGACAACAACTTTTGTCATATTACACCTAATGTGACAAAAACAGTATCTAATTGACAAATTTGCCTTGTCATAATAGGCCAAATTTGTTGTAAACCGGAAGGAAACTAGTAAATTCGACTGAAGACGATCTAGGGACTCAGGGTGATTTTCCAGTTGAAGAATAAATTTTAAATATATGTTGCATATGAGATGATTTCTGAGTTAGTAAACTTGTCCGAGTATTTGTATTTCAAAAGCGATTGGTTCAAAGAATATAAAAAATCTGTAAGCACTAAAGCTAAATGTTATTTCTAAATCACATACGTATGTCCAGATCAGTTTCATTATCCGTTCTATCCGGTTAATGTCGTATTTGCATAATTATCATTTTGGATGCTTGATTCTAGGATTTGGATGAGTTCGAAACAAAGTTGGTCTCTCCACCGTGTTAGTCATAGTTAGGACTGTACGTGGGCACCGGGTCGTGCCGCCCACGGGCTAGCATGGCACAGTTAGAGCACGGCACGAGCATGGGCACGAAATAAATGGGCCACCCCGGCACGAACACGAATAATGTATGGGCCGTGTCGGGTCTAAACTTCATGGGCACGAGCACGGGCACGACACAGTATATAAGTGGGTCGTGGAGGGCCTAATATTTTCGAGACTTTATTGAGTATAAGAACAGACATGACACGAAAATAATATTTATTTTATAGAAAATAAATATAAAAAGAATTATAGGTTCAAATATTACAAAACACAATTAGAAAAATAATTATTTGTTATTGTTAGAAGTATCATAAAGATATATACGTAATTATTAATACAAGTAAAAATGGACAAATAATTAAACAAAGCCAAATCACACTCGCTATACTTCCAATTTTCTTTTCCCCCTTATTTGTTACTTTTCTCAAACATTATCGGTTAATACTATCTTCCCCCGTCCAATTTACACCTTCTTTTTCATTCTCTCTTTTGTTTTTGTCCTTTTCATTAAACACGAATACGAGCATGGCATGAGCACGAATAGGCACGACACGATTCGAACCGTGCCCGGGCCTGGGCCGGGCCTAGCAAAGTCAAAAAATGGGCTTGCATGGCACGACACGAAAACTGACGGGCCGTGCCAAGCACGACACGAAATAAATGGGCTCGAAGCGTGCACGTGCCGTGCCGGCCCAAGCACGGCCCAGTGCCCATGTACAGTTAGGACCTTTTTTAGGAGAAATGATTTCAAAATATGTTTTTTATATTATCACTAAGGAATTTGATGGTTTTCATTAGTGTTGTAGAGTTTAACCTATACTCTACTATTCTAGCACTTGAATGCATGGATCCCACTTGATACAATATATCAAATTAGACAAGCTTCATTAGTGTTGTAGAGTTTATTTATTGTAGTTGCTTCTGATGTCTGTCACCTTTCTTACTAGGGGCATCTACTGGCTACAATATTGTTTGCAAGGGAATTGCATCCCACCTTGGTTACTGATTCTAAAGCCTATGTAAACCTGATCATTTTAATTTAGATTATCTTGTTCCTTTTGTGTTGTGTGGTTCTGGAGTATGTGTGATTCTTCTTGCTCTTTCTGGTTAAGTATTGGAAAATGGGATTGGCATGCTAGCTGCCTAATTAACTTTCCCAATCAAGGTTAATATAGTGATCTCAATGGAATTCATAGAGCGTGATTGATGCTATAGTCTCATTTCCTTTTAGTTGTCACTTAGAACATGCGTGGCTGAAAACCCATTTGGTATTTTGGATTTGTAAAAAAATTCAATGATGTTTTCATCGGCATTGTGAAGCAATGATATGATATCTATCATAATGTCAACCTGATCTTTACAAGTTTCTAGTGATTGACAGATATGGCAGCCTTGTACATATAGCTGGAGATAACTATCTCATATGCGTCGTGTTTCCTGATGATCTTCTACTGTTAATTACTAATGGAAATGGTATTATTATCGTATGAGGAATGAACATGATAATTTTTTTTACTATGGTGTGATGTTCAGACTGAGATGTCCTTGACAGTGAGGTTATTGTGTTATTTTTCCGGGATGTCATCAACATGACAAATGATGAACAGGAAATGGGTGGGCATTATCAAGGGGACAGGTTATGGTGATTACTACAAATTATATTAATTAATTTGGGTATGGAAAAATAAATTATATTAATTAATTTTTTAATAAATTACATTTAAGGTAGTTACAAAAATCAATTAATTAAAATTCTCTCTTTCTCTCACTTCCGTAATCTCCAGCCAGATTTCCTTTCCATATTTTTCTCAATCTTTCTGGAAAAAAAAAACGAAATTAGTACCAATCCATTAGACAAACACTACCACTTTGAAAAACATCAATACCATTGCAGAAATAAATCTATACCATTACACGAAAACTACCATTGCAGAAATAAATTTATACCATTACACGAAAACTACCAATATAAACAATCTATACCATAAAAAATCAATACCATTGTAGAAATAAATCTATATCATTACACGAAAACTACCAATATAAACAATCTATACCATTACACGAAAACTACCAATATAAACAATCTATACCACTGCACATTGAATCCATAAACGAAAACTACCAATATGTCTATTTGGTATATATGTTGTGATGGTAGAGAGAGAGAGAGAGAGAGAGAGAGAGAGAGAGAGAGAGAGAGAGAGAAGCGAGAGCAACGAGAGAGAGTAGAGAGAGAGAGGGTAGCGAGGGTGGTCGGGGACTGCCAAGGGTGGTCGGGGACTGCCGAGGGTGGTCGGGGCTACTGACGTCGGTGCGACGGGAGTGGTACGTGGAGGCGGCTGCGACGGATTTGGCTGGAGGGAGGATAGAACTAGGGTTTAGGTAGATTATATAGAATAATCAGGTGTGGTTACTTTTTAATTTCCAAAATTACCCTAAAAGAATCTTGACCGTAAGATTAAAAAAGAAGGGAAAATAATTAATCAAATGATATGTAAAGAGGTTGCCACCGTGATTACTAAAAACCAACTAATCACCCTAACCCATTCCCATTATCAAGGCCTCTATATAGGAGACTGCCTCTTTGTTATGAATGATTTGTTGCTTCAGAACTATATTTTTTATTCTAAAACATCTCTTTCCTCTCTCTTCTTCCTTTCTTCTTTCTTATCCCTCCATAAACCAGAAACCTTGCCGTAAACTAGATACTTGATAGAATTTGCAACATGGAAGAAGTCAATTAGAACCCCATTGAAAACAATCCCAGCATAGCCCACCGTCACATTATTTTTTTTATTAATTAAATTTCTGAAAACAATGTCATTTTTTATTAATTAAATTTTCTAAAATGATCGTGAATTGATATTAAGTCATTCTGGTTTTCAATTTTAGGTATGTGTGAACTATTGTGGTTTTGGATTGATATTAAGTTACGTGACTTGCAATGCACTGTAGGCATACCAATTAATTGGGATTTTTTAAATTGATTAATTCTATTCATATAGAAAAAAATTAATTGGGGCTTTTCACGGTGATGCAATTTAATCGATCATTGCATTGATTTTAATGAATATAGGCAAGTCCCAAAACTATATAGGTGTGTAATGGTTGGACATTATTTTGATTAATTTTCCGTTCTAGTGATTAAAATAAACGATATTTTAAATCGAGAAATTTTTTAATAGTTAACCAAATTTGCAAGAAAAAATAAAACGACTTGACAATAATACAAATACAAATATTTTAAGCGGATACAGATTTGTGTATGTGTAGTGTGATTTGGGCTATGTTGATGATTCAATAAAATAGCGAACAAAATTTTAACAATAGGTTCACTTTTTTAGTTGCTACGTTTTCAGTTACTAGTGAACAAAATTAGTAAGAAAATAAAATTTTCATTCCCATAACCATTGAAAATAATACCAAAATACAATCAAATTATTTTACTATTATATACCTAATAAAATAACATGTCCATCACAATTCCCAATATACATTTTCCTTACCACTTTCTTTCATGAAACACCATTTTCCTTAACCTGCAAATTGTCCCTCCCCTTCTACTCCCTTCCTCTCCCCTCTATTTTCCTCCCTTCCTTCGGGAACATTGGGTAAGTGTCTTAACAACCCATGAAAATTCCTCCTCCTAGCTATCTGATGGAGTTTAGGGAAAAAAAGGATGCAATAATGTTGCATACATCTTACGGAATACTACATTCTGCAAATAAATGAGATCTAGTCTCTAGAGGACATTCACAAAAAGAACAGGCAAGTGAACCTATATTTCCCCAGTTTTGCATCTTCTCTCCTGTCGAAATATAGCTCTTAATAACGAGCCAGATCAGGAACTGATTTCTTGTAATAGAAGGTTGTTTCCAAACAAGGGAGAACCAAGGAACAGGGGTCTCCTTTGGTCTAAAGTCTTCCCAAACTGCTTGTATACTAGTCCTTTTCATCACCTTCCCATTCTAACTGACTTCGCCATTCACCATTGAATCTTTTGATGAAGTTTATCCTACTCACTACAAAAAAGATAGTCAGGAATGCCAGACGATTGGCGTCGAAAAAGACCATTTTTCGTTGAAAAAGACCTTTTACAACGAAATAAGTCATTTGTCGTCATGGAAAAAACTCTCATCGCAAAAAGTCTAAAAAGTAAGGGCGCCAGAGAAAGAAAATTTGTAACGAAAATTTCTTCGTCTCTAACCAAAATATCGTTGTTAGAAATAACTTATGCTTGATGCTGAAAATTGACGAAGTTTATTTGTGAGGGATGTATTTTTTTATTTACGAAGAAATGTCATAAAAAATGAAAAAAAAATTCCCGAAATACCCTCTAACTTTTTTTATGACTATAGTGCCTCATAGAAAAAAAATGTGCAAATGAAATCAAAATTTCAATTTAGATAATACCCTTTAATTATTTCCGACGAGGATATGACATCCGCAAAAACAATTCCTTGATAATAAAATTATTTATGTTGGAACTCATTTCGTTAAAAGTATGGAATTTCTCTTCCCAAAATACCCTTTTTATTTTCTTACGACGGTGCGGCATAGAAAAACCTTCATTAAATGGGACAATTTTGCATTTCCAAAAATATCCTTTGGTCTTTTTTGATCAATTTGTATAAGAATGAGAGTATTAACACTAAATTATATTACATAAAACATTTAATACATTATTAAACTCATAAAAAAAATAAACTCAAACAAAACCCAACTATGCCAAACAGAGCCCAACTGAAACCCTAACAAAGCCCAACTCTAGAAGAGGCTAACTCTACCAAACAAACCCAAATCTTTCTCGCTACTACTTCCGCCTAGACGGTCATCATCGCCGTTGAATCCCTGGTTTCGACTCGCCATCACCAGGGTGAGTGGTTGGCTGCCCGCTCAGTTTCCTTTCACTCTCCATCAAAACTGATCAAAAAGCAAAATCAACAAACATGTTCTTCGCTATCTTCTCCACCATTTCCGCCTTCTATCAAATGTAAACCCAAGTTCTCCACCTGCTCGTCGCTATAATAATAGATATAAAAGAAGCTCATGAGCGTTCACCCCACAACATCCTTATGCAAAGAGTCCTATATTATGGCTTCCTTCACCAAACTTGCATCATCCTCATTTGTTATATCTCTTATCCTACAAAATAAGCCAAAAAATTATGAGTTCAAAGTCATGATTAACTTGCATACAGTCAATTCAAAACCAGCGTAGAGACGCTTGCATCCCTCTGTTCAGAGTTCACATACCATAAGACTCGTAACAACTTGAACTTGGAGATGACCAACAAAGGATCTTGATTTCAGAACCTTCTTCCTAGTATGATTGCCATCCTCATATAGGGCTGAAGCTTTGACCCTGAAAACCCTTCGACCCGCCCCGACCCGACCCTTAAGGTCGAGCCGGGTCAATTTGAATGAATGGTCAAAAGAGGGCCGGGTCATCACCAGAACCCTGTAAGGGCCGGGTCAAATTACACTTGACCCTAAATGACCCATCCTGACCCTAATAACCCGAAATGACCCTATCCCTATGAAAATTGACGAAGACAAAATCCCTAAATTTCCAGCATCTCTCGGCTCTGTTCGTCGTTCGAGTTCTCTCTCTGTCCACTTCAAACTAAACCCAATCCCCTCTTCACTTGCCAATCAATCGAAGCTCCCCCCACAAAACTCCTCTCCTTCTCTCGCCAATCTCCACCGCATTCCCTCGATTCACCTCCTGAGCTCCTGTTTGGTTAATTTCTTCTTTCGCCCTTCCCCTGATGGTTTTCTTCCCGAAAGTTGTGCCCTGCAAATGGCCGCAATCGACGATAGTGGAGGTCGATGAGAGATGGTTGCAGATCAGTGAGGATGTGTTCGAATGGTTGATGGGAACTGGGACTTAGGAGATGAGATTGAGATGGGATCTCGGAGAGAAGCGGCCTCAAATCAACGATTGGAGGGGAGAGACTTTGATCACAACCATAATTTTGGAATATGGAATGTATTTGGATTTGTGAAAACTAAAGTCAAAGTTATTCCTAAAATCCCGTATATTTAATAATATTACTTTTTTAAAAATTCATTCCTAGTAAAAATTGTAGTTTTATGCGCAATCACAAAAAACTTTATGATGTTCGGATTAAGGAGAAAAAAGTTACGGCATTCCAAAGTTTGGCAAAATCGAAAAATTGCTCGTTCGGGATAGCAAACGACATTTTTTTGGGATGAAGGCTTGTGGCAGATTGAAAGATCTTAAATAGTTGTGCGGAATCAATAATATTTTGCTACAATCGGATAACCGAACAAAAAAGTTACGTTCGTTTGAAGTTTTAGTATTAGGTCATGCATTCACCGCGGTTGTCAACCGCAATGATGCATTCACCGCGGCTGTCAACCGCGATGATGCATTCACCGCTTTCATCTGTTGTGGTTAATGTATTTACTGCGGTTGACGACCACAATGATGCTCAAACAAGTGTATTTTGAGAATTTTTCATAAAACGTGTGTATTTAGGTAAAAAAAATTAATGTGTATTTTGGTATTTTTTTCCTTTTTTTTTTTAGTAAATCGCAAATTAGGTTAGGAAAACGAATGGTATATTTGTACTACGCAGGCTCGGTGCGGCTTTTCAGTTCCAAACTTCCGTTCAGTTTCAGTAGGTGAGAAACTTTTGAAAGGAAAACTTACAATTTCACATTTTTGAGCCAAAAAGTTTTCCTTCTCACCATTGTGAATTTTGGTTTCGGCCTTTGGTGCAGGGAAATATTGGAGCTAAAAGTTATGGAATCAAATTGAACTTGTACATATACATTATGTGTATATGGTAAAAGTTCAATTAAACTTGTATGTATACGTTAATGGTAAAATTGAACTTGTAACTATACACTGATTGTCAAATTGAATTTATACATATATCTTAATGGTCAAATTGAACTTATACATGTACCTTATGGCAAAGGTTCAATTTAACTAGTACAAACCTAATTCCACCGCGGCCTCCGCTTTTCAGTTGGGATTCACTTCGTTGGAAGACCCTTAAGAGGGATCGAGTGCACGTTGTTGTTGATTGTGTCGTCATTTTCGAAGAGATTCATTGCGACTGGAGATGGTTAAGCAGATTCATGTCACGAATCAGGCTAGAAAACGAAGGTTGGGCTAAGATGTATTGTAGATCTGGATTTTGGAGCAGACTTAGTGAAATTTTGACTAACAGATCCTTAGTCAGATAATGACAAGAGACTCCGACCCTTGTTCCCCCTAACGCAAAAGCAGATCCAGATTCTTCACCGACTCTCACCCATAGACCTGGCAATCGGGTCGGGTTGGGAACTTCGGTTACGGGTCGGGTCATGTTTGGTTGGCTTATTTTGGATCAAATATTGACCCACCCCATTTGGTTTCGGGTCGGGTTACAGGTCATTTCGGGTTATGAGCGTTCTCAGAAACAATATCAAACATGCTTCATATTTTCTTACAGAACACATATATTCAAATATGCATGACAATAGTTTACCTAACACATGTCAATTAACATATTCTCAAATCCTCCCATACTAATGAAATGAAATATAAATTGCGCAAATCGTCAAAAAAAAAAAAACAATCACTAGAGTAATACTACTACAAGAAACACATGATATTTGATTATCCTTAAACTCCAAACATGTCGTTGAAATCCTTGTGATTTTTTTTAAACATCTCATCAATTTATGAGTGATTTTATCATATTTTGGGAGTAATATATTAAATGGAAAGGGTCTAACGGGTCGACCCGCCAACCAACCCAACCCGACTCAAAAAATCACGGGTTATCGGGTTCGGGTCATTCGGATTTCGGGTTACAAAAATTTCTAATTTTTTGGCGGTTTCTTGTCGGGTCAACGAATCAGGTTGTAATTTGCCAGGTCTACTCACCCACCACCACACTCCTCACACTCCGCCACCACTCCAATACGACCCTGCAACCCAATTTCAACTCCCAAACACAAGCAAACACGTTTTAATAGTTTTCACGGTCCAGACTATATTAATTTATAGACTTTACTGTACCTTAATGGTCAACTTGAACTTGTACATATATCTTATGGTAAAGGTTCAGTTAAACTTGTACGTATAGCTTAATGGTCAAATTGAACTTGTACATATACATTGATAATGGTCGAATTGAGACTGTATATATACATTAATAATCAAATTGAGCTTGTACATATACTTTAATGGTCAACTTGAACGTGTACATATACACTAATGGTCAAATTGAGCTTGTGTATATACTTTAATGATCAAATTGCATTGTACATATATCGTATGGTAAAAGTTCAATTGAATTTGTACCAACACCTCAATGGCGAAATTAAACTCGTACTTATATCTTATCGTATAAATTTAAGTTGTACACATACATGATTCTATATAGTGCAAATTATACTTGATTTGGGTTGTGAGTCAATAGAGTTTTGGATAAAATTAGTGTAGTCTAATTGGTTAAGTAGGTTGTTTTACATTTAGATAACACAGGTTCAATTATTGGTAAGAGAGAAAAAAAATTAATAACAAGAATAAAATGGAAAAAGTGCAAAACTTGACGATTCAGTTTAGTCGGATGATTCGTTTAGTCTAGGGCGGGTATAATATCATTGAAAAATCTGATATCCTTTTTTAACGTTACTATATAGTAATGATAGAATGAAATTTCAAAAAAAAATTCTAATTGGTGTGAAATCAACTTTGTAAACTTAAAGTGGTTGGTTAAGGTGGTTGGTTCAATCCACCTTGATGGTTTTTTAATGTTTCCATTACTCAATATAACATATTATTTCTAATACATTTGTAAATTAGTAAATAGCAACACAAACAGTAAGACTGTGCAACTCGTGTGTACTTTAACGTTGTAAATTATGGTTAATAGTTTAATCCTCCAAACTATAGAATTTTTTGTACATTATACATTATTTTCAACCGAATTATGTTTTTCGTTAGAAAATGTCACCCCTAACTAAAAAATTGATAATCTTAACATGTTATTTCAGACGTCCAATAGCTTGGCCGTAAAAACTTACATATGATGCATTAACTCCCACAAATATATATTTCGCGTCAAAAATACTACGGTAATTATGACGATTCTACTGATGCATTGCAATGTAATTTATTACGATCAACTTTTTTCGACGACCAATAATTGATGGTCGAAGAATGTAGAGTTTTTCTTATGGAGCAAGCTATCCCGCACAAACAATACCATTTTCGACGAAACATTTCTGACAATGGATACAATTCGTAAAAACAACTCAATTATTCCACAACCTTTTTTGAGATATCGAAAAAAGCATATATTACTGATACCATTTTAAAACTTGTCCGTAATAATAATTATTTTTGACGACGTAGCATGTTTCGTCATAAATAATGATCCACAATTCCTCAAATTTGTCTAAATTATTATTTTGACGGGTTTTCTAAGTATTTCCAACGCATATATTCTTTTGTCACAAATATTAGAAAATTTTCCAATAAAATGTCAATTTCATTGGAAATTATGCTTATTTCTGGCGAAAAAACAGTGTGGTCGGTAGCTTTCGTCACAACTGTCTGTCTTTTTGTAGTGACTTTTAAGTAACTTCAGCCAGATCCAAGAACCAACTTTAGATTGAAAATGCCAGAAGTCGTGGTTTTTAATTAAGTACTCTTTTAACCAAGCCACCCAAAGAGATCCCTGTTGTAAAAGGATAAGCCAGATATGCCTAACTACACACGAAAAGTTCCAGCTCACTAAATCCCTTATACCCAGTCCACCTTCACTTTTAGGGAAAGTAAGATAGTGCCAAGCAGCTACATCCTTCTTCCTTCCATCTAGGGGTGGGCAACGAGACGGGACGGGATACCCGTCCCGTTTGAAACGGGTACCCAGTCCGGTTTGGAGAGCAAAGTGCATCCCATGTCCCAAACTCGTATGGGTAAACGAGTATCCACAAAGAAGATAACAGAATCAGACACGACAAGGCAGGGGAAGAACAAGAACATGGAAATACCCCTAAAATGATCCACTTTGCCAAACCTTACCTTCTCTTTTCTCTTCCAGCAAATGGGTAGGAAGAAAAACTGAGAAAGATCAAGAACTTACCCAAAAAGATAAGAAAGGAAAGAAACTCGGAAAATGGGTGACGGTTACTCGCAACAGAGGGCTACGGAGATTCCGATTGCCACGGTGAATGGAGATTTGAGATGGGAGGAGAATTTATTTTGAGTCGAAGAGATGACTAGAGAGGACTAAGGAGAGAATTCGAGGCGAACTGCTGCTGGCTGTGTGGTGCCTGTTGACTTCGAGATCTCAAGGAGTGCTGGAGAGTATTGAGACTCGTCTGTCGACAAGGCTACAAGGGAGAGGCCGAAAGCTGAAAGGGTTCTGGGCTTCTGCTAGGTCTGAAAGGGTTCTACCTTCTGGGCTCAGCCTTTGTATAACGAATGGGTATAACGGGTACCCATATTACCCAAACATGTATTTGTGGGTAACCCGCGGGTACCCAATGTAGGAATGTACAATCCCAAGTCCCATCCGTTAATAAAATTACGGGTAATATGGGTACCCGTAACCCTTAAAAAACAGGACGGGTACGGTTACACCCAGATACCAGTTTTCCATTGTTGACCCCTACTTCCATCTAGGCCAGCTCCCCATAGAAAATTACTACATAGCTTCTCTATCGCCTTGATAACTCTCTTCGGAAGAATAAACACTGCCATCCAGAGTTGGGTCAAACTAGCTAAAACAGACAATGCAAGTTGTAACCTGCATGTATAACTAAGAAACTTTGATTTCCAACTTTGAATTCTACTTGTGATCTTATCAAGCAAAGGATTATAAGCTGCAATTGATAGTTTACCAGGAATCAGAGATAATCCCAAGATAGGAAGAGAACCTAGCTTGCATCCTGCTCTCAGAGCCATCTGCTTCTCCCACTCTAAAGGAAACCCAACCCCCCCCCCCCCCCCCCCCCCCCACAGAATAACTCACATTTCTCAGGGTTTGATTTCAATCCAGACATTCTTCTAAACTCCCCCAAAATTTTATGAATACAATGAATTCCGTAATTATAACCATCAGAAAAGAGTAGAAGGTCATCGGAAAACATCAAGTGTGCAAGCCTAACCTTTTACACATCGGATGGAATGACATTTGACCTTCCCTTACTGCCTTACCCATTAAACAAGAAAGAATCTCCATAGAGAGAAAAAAGGTAAGTAGACAGAGGATCACCCTGTCTCAAACCTTTCATAGATAAGAAGTATCCCACAATCCCCCCATTGAATCCCACACTCAGCTTCGGAGTGGTCACACACATCACAATCAAATTTACAAACCCTACTGAAAAATTCATTGCCTTCAATACAGTTATCAGAAAATCCCAGTCAACCGAGTCAAAAGCTTTCATAATGTCCACTTTCACAATACTACGAAAGGAGATATTAGATCTATTATATTTTAGCACCAATTAATGAGCCAACAGAATATTCTCACCAATGACTTGACCTTTGATAAATGATGTTTGGTTGTGGCTAATTAATGTAAGCAATACTGAACTTAGCGTAGTTGCTAGAATCTTTGTAACACACTTGTAGAAAGTGTTACAACAGGAAATAGGTCTGAAATACTTCATCTCTTCTGGGCTCTGAGTTTTAGGGATCAATGCTAACAGAGTATAATTGATTCCTCCTAGCAGTGTACAGGTGGAAAAACAAAACTGGACAACCGAAATTACCTCAGGCCCAATGATGTGCCATGCTGATTGGAAAAAGCACGCTGGAAAACCTTCTGGCCCTGGGCTTTTGTCCCCATTAAACTCGAACAGAACCATCTTAATCTCAGCTTCAGTAATAGGTTTACTTAACTAAACACTTTGTTCATCAGTAACCATTGATTGCAAGAGATTTTGAATCTCCTCCACCCTGACAGCCTCAACCTCTAAATCCCTTTTCCCCAGTAAATTTTTATAAAATCTTTCAGCAATTTGATTCATTCCCCCTGTATCACTGACTCTCACTCCTTCTTCATCCAACAGAGACCTTATCATATTACGTTTATGCCTTACTTTAACTGAACAATGAAAGTAACCCGAGTTTGAGTCTCCCACCTTCAACCAAACTTCCCTCGACTTCTGCCTTAGAAGCGACTCCTACACATCTCTTAAAACCTTAACTTCAACCACTATTAAATCTCTCCCCAAACCATTGAAGTTCTTTAAATTTTGGATGAAACAAGAGAGATACTGGGATATCGTAAATGAGGCGTGGAGTACTGAAGATGCTAGATCAAGAATATCCACTGTGCTAAAGGTGAATGTGTCTAACCATTTGCAATTAACAAAAGCTCGATCAAGCCTTCTTGCAATTGGGTTCCCAACCTGGTTATTAATCCATGTGAACCAAGGCCCTGATGATTTATGATCCTCAACTTCAATATCAAACTGCCAATTTTTGAAATTCTCCATACTTGAAAAAAAGCTTGAAGAATACGAGGCTTCATCAACTCCACTTATAACATTAAAATCCCCCAAAATAACCCATGGCTCAGCCTGAACTTGTAGATATACTAGACTTTTATATAATGCCCTTCTGTCCAGCTCTTCATTTGAAGCATGAACAACTGTGAGGAAAAAAGGCACACCAGAACTAACCACTACATGAATTGCTCAGAGCTATGAAGTACTCTTAACTTCACATCTGATCTCCACACCGAACCAATCTTACTTAAACCAGAAGAATTCCCTACGATTTCCACTTCCCAGCATTGAAACCATTTTTAAACTAATTGTTCCGCCTTCTTTACCTTTACTCTAGGTTCTAATAAAGCTATAATATCTATACTATGCTTATTTACTAAAAGTTGTACAACTTTTATTCTCATCCAAGTCTTTAAAACATCGGGTATTCCACGATAACAACTTCATCGACGTTTTCCTCCCGTACCCCCTTTCTTAGAGCAGGAGGTCCCACTGGAGCTTGCTTCTTTTTAGTTTGACTGCCTACTGTAATCCAAGGATTAACCTCTAATTCCAATTCAGGTAGAGCAGCCAAAGGAGTCTGCCTCCCATTAACTGGTGAACATCCTCCCATGGCTACTTGTGAAGATGACTCAGGACTTCCAGTAGAAACTGACGACCCCTTTACCACCTCCACAAAACTCACTGCCTGAACTCTAGTCTCTGAGAGTGAATCCACAGATGTGAGTTCCTTTTAAGCACCTTGATCTTGTCCAACATCACACTGTGCAACATTTCCAAGTATACTACCGGCCAACGAAGATGAACCAGTATCAATATCAGCATCTTGAATTGCATTCCCTTTATCCTTTATACCCTGAACCTCCTCATTCTCAGCCCCAGAACGAGATTTCTCAGCTGTCTTCATACGAGCTTGTTCCTTCCTCACCCAAACCTTCCCTTCATATCGATTACTATTACAGTTGTGACCAAGCATCTCACACTTTGAACAGACTAGAGGAGGGCGATTATACTCCACCCTTACCTCAAACCCAGATTCCTCATCCGGATAAAGCATAACCGTACTAGGGAAACCTGAACTTGCTTCCATTTCCAGACAAGCCCTAGCAGTTCCAAGCTGAGCACCAACTCTAGTCGATCTATCCATATGAAGTGGCACACCCACAGTACTTACTACCCACTCCAAACCATCCACATAATATACTGTAATGGAATCCCAGAGAAACGGACCCAGATAGGAAGTGTTTCCACATTCGACTCCACTAGTTGAATCCTTGGTCACCATTTCCGAAAGAAAATAGGGTTACCTTGATAATGCCATGGCCCATACTTGAAAATCCAATCGCTTATGATCTTCGATGGAAACAAAAAAACCAAGAGTCGCGATCTAAATCGACAGATCTGAATCGCTCATTCCCTTCCGCAAAGACGAGTTGCCCAGCTCTGAAGATCTGGAAGACGGGGTATCTTGCCTACAAATTGCCCAATGAGGCTGTTTTGCCAACGAAGTGCCCCCTTCTCCTTTACCTCCTTAGGGATTATGAAGCCATCGTTAATCCGCTCAGGGGGTCGGTAACGAAGCTTGTTCTCTGGCTCCATGGCAAACAATTAGGCCAGGAGCTCCCCTCACCGACTGGGGCAACCCCCAATGGCTAGACCTCCATTTCGCGTTCGTCAAAAATTCATCTTCCATTAATATATGGTAGAGTTTTGTATACTTTTCTCCGGTTCAAATTTCCTGCAACGACAGTGAAAGTAGGAAGGTCATTTTTGTCTTTACACATTTATTATTTATTTCATATAAAAATAGCAATATCAAGGTTTGAACCCAGGTCTCTTCAAACAAAGATAACAATCACAACCAGTTACACTAAACAAATTTATTGCATTCTTTTTGATAAAAAAAATAGACAAAGTTAATCTCTGAAAATCAGAGGACTTTTTATCATAATTAGCAAGCTCACTAAGTCTACCGTATTTATTTTTATCGAGCTTGATACTTCTATTTTCATAGTAGAGTTTCATGTAATTTTCTCAATTTTAAATTCTCGCTCTCTCCTTAATTTTTGCTAAAGGTAAATGGGTAATTGGCCAATATGGAAGAAACTAATTATGTAACTACTGTTGTATCCTTGCATTTTTCAATTTAAATTTAAATTTTGTGTTTTTTTTATCTTTGTTCTTTTCTCTTTATAACTTCCTCCGAAATTTCATCCATCGTGCAATAGTTTGCGCCTTTCACTTCCCAATACAAGACTGTCATTGAAAATCAATCTTCAGGTATCTCTTGGCACTACGGTTTTATTGTTGGGGATTTTAAGCTGGGCGAGTAGAAGATTTCAACTCCGATATCAATTCATGGCGAATAGAATGGAGTTCATCAATAACTGAAGTTGTAGAAGGAAGATTAGAAATTGAATTTTTGGTTGAATATATGCCTCTTGAGATAGAAATTTGGTTGTACAACGGAGAGTGGTGGCTATTGGATCTTTATGTTTATGGTTTTTGCAACTGTCATAACCTATTTCTATCTTAAAACGAGGAATCATTGATTGATTGTTTGAAATAGGTCGCTTCTTTATTCAACCTACTGGAACTAATAGATAAGGAGTGTTTAATTTTGCGCCTTATTACTTTGATCGAGTCTATTCGTATATTGGAGATAACCCTGATTTTTTCGTTTGCTCTCAAGTTGTGATGGTCCCCTCTTAGCTGAGTTTTTACTATATAGATGACTTGAATCAACAATTCTCCATTTCTTTTTGATTAGTGACATATTGTTTCTAAAATGAGAGCATTGAACCCTTTATATAGGATTGTGAGGTTTAAGATTTAGTTTCAAACTATCTATGGGTTGTGTGAGAATTTCAGTGAGCTTTTATACTCTATATTTCTTGACTGTAAAAGAAAACTAACCAATAGCATTTTAACAGGGACTTAATTAGCATTATGAAAACGGGGTCAATGATACATCTTTATATTTTATATTCTTAAATGATTATGATATTTCTCCGAATCTTCGACCTATATATTATTTCTTTATGTATCATCTCGATCGAATGATTATCAATAAGATTAAACGGGTTAATAGACTTAAAAGTAACATAAAAATACAAATAATCAAATATGAGCATTCCGGCCAAAGGGCCGGGTTATAAGCTAGTAGAAAAGAAGAGAGAGAAATGAGAAGAGATTGGAGAATTTACTGTTCGGCCAGCAGAACCTGTTGTTAAATCTATCATTTCTAGTTTACTCTCGTTGTAGAAAATTTGAAATACCGAAAAATCGTTCTCAACTAATTTGTAGAGATAGGTTCGTGTTTCCGTAAGGCAATAACTAAAGTCATCATGGCAAAGAACTAGCCCACCACCCTCCACTATTTTCTCATGAACACTTTCTCCACTGCAAATTCCATGTCCCCCCACCCCCAATTGATTAAGTTCTAGCACTTTGTTGAAGCAGGTATATATTCCAGCTCGAGCCAGAAAATCTGACTATTATATACAAGATTTAATATCCTCATGTCAATAAAAACGAAAAATAAAGAAACACGATGGGAGGTTCTTTCTTGTTAATTAGCTTAAAATAACAACTTGATTGAAATGTATCCCAGTCCACAGTACATGTGATCTACATGATTAAGTAAACTAAATTCCTTTAGTTTAAGCATTGCGGATCGAGAACATGCTATTTCCACCTTTTTTTTTTGGTAGAAGTTATTTTCACCTTTTTTTTTTCCCTGAACGTCGAACGATGTGTAAGATTAAATACATAATCATGTAAATCTATATAAACAGATATTATTTCTAAAGTGGGCTCAGATTTGACTGTTGAAATAGAAGACTCTGTTAATTCCACTAAGTTTTAATTATCTCCCTAATTTTAAGTCGGATTTAGAAAATTTTACATATAAAAAATATGTTCACTGTGATCCACAAAATGATATCATATTAAACATAATACGGGAAAAAGATTTACGGATTTCCCGTTACCACCTTCTAACTCCCTTTAGTTCTTCATTTTTTACTTAAATTTTGAAAATATTTGTACAGAAAGGATTATTTAACTATGATCTACAAATTATATTTTGTAAAAATTTTTTATAGACCAATTTTACCACATTCTATCACCTATCATAGTTGAAGATTGTAGTAGACGATGGCATATGATAATATATTCCTACCACCACGATTGGTTTTTATATTATAATGTTATAAAATCGCGTATCACCGTACTCTAACATCATCACTTACTATAGTAGAAAACACATTGATTAAAATTATATATTTATTCAAAAATATATAAAAGTATATGTCTGTGAGTATAATTAATTTTTTTTTCTATAATTTTTTTATTGAGTTAAAAAGAATAGATATAGCTGGTTATTATATAATAGTAAAATATTTATACATAAATGTGTAACCATATATTACTGACCATATTTGGACCTTATTATTAAATATTTTATTGAAAATAATAGGGAAAATAAAGAAAAAGTAGCCAACGTGCGTCCCTCAACTTCTGCACTTTCGAAATTGTTAATAAAAAAAAATTTTGGTAGAAAATATTTGTGGTAGAAAATAGTTAGGGTATGACTTCCAAGTCAAGTCACAATGATTTGGGGAAAAAGGTAGACCATTTTCAGCAAATGCTCAATCGAATGACAGATTTATCTTATTGCAACGATATTTTACTTTTACAAAAGAAAATAACGGTCAATCGCTTGCTTAAACTGACCCACCAAGTTTTAGGGAAAATCCCTACCTCAAAAAGATATATTGGCATTGAATTATATGATTTATATATTGAGGTTGAACCATCATCATTTCGTTGAAGAAGCCGACCTCTTAGTTTACTGGTCGACCAAAGAGATAATGACATGCACACACCAACATTTTTTTATTATTTTATTTTGCAATGGTGGAAGGCCGTTGCAACAAGGAAAGTGTGTGTTTGACCATTTTCTTCAAGTTATAGTGACTTGGAAGTCACCGTATCAAAGTCCAAATAGTTAATGATGTTTGCTAATCTATTATGTTTTAAAGTAATATTTTCTCGATATAAAAATTGAAATTGTGTCATAAAAATTAAAGAATGTTAGAATATGACTTGAAAATTTGATTGAGTTTGTTTTGTGTTTGGGCCTATTCTGTTTGGGATTGGGATTGGGTTTTGTTTTGACCTTTTCCTTGTATGTTTGGGAAAAGATATTTGGTTTTCTGTTTGGGATTAGGAGAAGAGTTCTATAAATACTCTTCATCACCCTAGTCTGTATTAAGGCCAGTCAGGTTAGTTTGTTTGGTTTGTCCGTTTGGAATTTGGTTTGTAACCTGTACTCTCCTCAAATTAGTGAAATTTGTTCTCCTCTACCCGTGGATTAGCTAGCACACATTGTGTTAGTGAACAACGTTAAATTTGTGTTCGTTCGTGTTGGTGTGGATTATCGATTGCACGCTTCTGTTCTGACAAGTGGTATCAGAACCTGGTTAATCTTTGGGTTATTTGAAACTGTCTTGGTGGATTTTGGATCGCGCTCCTGGTCGATCGACTGGGCAATCGGCTAGCGATTTTGGTGACTGCTGTGGTATCAGGGGACAGTCTTCGATTTGGTTGGCGGAGAAGCCTTTATTTTTTCTTCCTCCAAATTTGGTTTGTGGTGGTTCGTGGTCTTTTGTCCCAATTTGGATTTGTGCGGGGGTCGATCTGAGGTAAATTTGATATTGGTGTTATGGACGGAAATAACACCAAGCTGGTTCTGCATGGCAAGTCCCAACATGGGTTGGACTTGCTGCATGTTTTTATTTGTTGATCGCCCTTAGGGGCATTTGGAGGCAGGGGAGATTCTGTTACAGCTGATTTGGAGGAGTTAGTACGTCTGACAATTCTGATTGCATCTGAGTTGGCGATTTGCATCGCGTTTGAGTTTGGTGATTTCGATCACATCTGGATATCTGCGATTTCGATCGCATCTGGGTAAATTTGGCGATATGGATCGCGTCTGGGTACATTTGGCAACTTTGGTTGCGTCTGGTACATTTGGTATTTGAGAGAGAATTCAAGTCAAGGTGGAGATTGTTAGAATATGACTTGTATGTTTGGGATTGGGTTTTGTTGTGACCTTTTCCTTGTATGTTTGGGAAAAGGTATTTGGTTTTCTGTTTGGGATTAGGAGAAGAGTTCTATAAATACTCTTCATCACCCTAGTCTGTATTAAGGCCAGTCAGGTTAGTTTGTTTGGTTTGTCTGTTTGGAATTTGGTTTATAACCTGTACTCTTCTCAAATTAGTGAAATTTGTTCTCCCCTGCCTGTGGATTAGCTAGCACACATTGTGTTAGTGAACCACGTTAAATTTGTGTTCGTTCGTGTTGGTTTGGATTATCGATTGCACGCCTATGTTCTGACAAAGAAAAAGTACAGTTTATACTATAAAGGAATATGTACGCTTATGTTATGGTACTAATTCAGTTTGTACTATAACATAAAGGCATAATTTCATTTTATACTATTAAGAGTTTGTACAAAATAATGTATGAATAGAAAGGACAAGAGCTTCCTAATAATATTGTATACCGCTCTTCCCTCTTTCTTCCCTTTCTCTCTAAAACCTAAGGTTTCCGTTTTTCAATTCTTCGATGACGGTCGTCGCTAGCGGGTCCTCGTCGGGCGCTGTTGGCGACGGCCGGTCCTGGGCCTCTCTGTTCGGTGCAGCGGAGGATAACAAACAGGAGTACATCGAGCCTGAGCTAATAAAGGTTCGCTGTGAATCATTAAATCTGTAATGGAGGAAGGGGCGAAGCAGCTTGAACACACTCTAGTGGGTCAATTTCTGCGTACACCCTCGTCGATTGCTTCGATTCGTTCCTGGGCAAACTGGGTCCGGGTCGGGACGGTGAGATTCGAATCTCAGAGTTGAGGATCGGTTTTTTCTTATACAGTTTCCGTCGGAAACTGTCTCGCGTTTGGGTATTTGGAGGTGGTCCTTGACACTATCGGAATAATATGATATGTTTGCAAAAGTCGGTTCCTGGGATTCATGCTCTTACAATTGACAACTCTGTCATTCCTATATGGATTAAACTTTCGGGTTTACCAGCGGAATTATCTTTGAAGGAGGGTTTGGGTCGGGTTGCTAGTCTAATTGGGCGTCCGCTCTGTATGGATCAGCCAACACGTTTCAGGCAGCGAGTGGGAATAGCGAAGGTTTGTGTTGAGCTTAGTGCTAAGAAGCCGCACGTTAAACAGATTAGTATCACCCCTGATGATATGGATGAGATGTTCATTCAGGTAGAATACTGTCACTTACCTCCTGTTTGCAAATCCTGTGGTGTTTTTGGTCATGATTGTGCTTCTCCTTGTGAGTTGAATGTGAAGAGGGTTTGGAGGAAGAAAACGGTTACCACTGTTGCTTTAGCAAGTACTTCAAGGACTGAGGAAGAAAATGTTCATACTGTCGAGCCAGTTATTGAGTCTCCACCAATCACTCCTAGTGCTTTGCCATCTCAGGAAGATTTTAATTTGGTGGTTAACGGAGTGAAACCACTTGCTCAGGTGATGTCATCTCCAATACCTCTGGCGAATTATTTTGCTGCAATTTGTGCCAAGAATATACAGTTGCAGGATCCCCTTCCCACTTCATCAGGAAGGTTTACGTAGTCAGAAAGGGGTGTTGAGGGCCCCTCTACTGAAGATATGATTGTTTTAGAATGGAACACGAGGGGCTTTGACAGCCTCTCAAAGCACAATTCAGTGCTTCAGTATATACATAAGTATAGAATTCAAGTATTAGCATTGCTGGAAACTAGAGTACATAAGGCAATGCTAAGAAGATACAAGAAAATTTTTCTGATTTTATGTTTGCTGATAACTACAATACTCATTACCTTGGTAGAATTTGGATTGCCTGGCACAAGGATGTGAAGTTGAGGGTCTTGCATTGCGACAGTTCTTTCATACATATGTTGATTTCTATTACAGCAGCAGTGCAATTATTCTTTAGTGCAGTCTATGACTTTAATGAGGAAAATGATGGCAAGTAAAGGGATTTCCATGGATGGTTTGTAGTGATTTTAACGCCATTCTCAGTCATTGGAATCTTCTAACGCCATCTCTATATCGTCTAGTATGCAGAATTTTCGTGTTAGGGTGGACTCAATGGAACTTTTGGATCATTAGTACACATGGCCTTTATTTTCTTGGTCCAATCAGTAGCAAGCTAGAACTATTGCAAAGAAACTGGATCGTATGCTGGTTGACTCACTTCTACTGTCACTCCATGAATTGGCCAAGTGAAACCACTTCCTAAAGCTTAGTATAGCGGGTTTGGGTTTAATTATCAACCCGGGTCCTAGATTTGATGACTACTAAGTGAATTATTGTTATCTAGCAATGAAACTTTAATGCAAGTCTAAACTAACAAACTAACAAAGCAAGTAAACGGTTGTATTTAGGTTAAGAGAGGTCACCCAGATATGGTTCTCCCTAGACTGCAGTTAGGCCGGATTGTAATTACCAAGTTCAGTTTCTATGATAGTTATACTGCAGAAGGTTCTTAAACAGCCTGAAGTCTCGACTAAAGGTCTTCAGACCCTCTCAATCTGAGTCCACCGGAGTAAACTGATGAGGCCTTAACAAACAGAACCTCCACTACCGGAGTAAATCCGGTACAGAATAGTGAGTTGGTTCCTCGACTAGAGTCACCAACTCCCTACCTTCAATCAAGGATGCTCTATCAACCTAGGCAGATATTCTCATTCTAGGTTAAAGCAGAAACAACAGGAATTTGATCAGGATTCAAGTCATTCAATCATTCAAACCTCAATCGAATATAATCAAATCATAGAATCAGTACTTGGGTTCATACAATCAATCCTAACATACAAATCTAGGGTTCTCCATACCCAGATGAATGGGAGAACTACTCCATGGAGAAAGAAGCAAAAGCAGAATCAGACGCGGAATTCATACTGTGAAGGATGTATTCCTGCTCCTGGACGTTGATCAGCACTTCTCCAAGCTCAAACTGGCCTCCAATGGTGTTGAAGATCAATCTATGGCACTTGGAGACTCTTGTTCGTCGCTTTCTCTCTCTAGGAATCACTCTCTCTCTCTCTCTCTCTCTCAAAACTCGAATCCCCTTCTGTTTTGGCTGAAATCTGCTTAAAAGGGCATTAGTGGCTAAAGCACGGTCGAGGGCACGGCCGTGCTTTGCTTCAGCCCGCCCGTGCTTTGGCTAGGGTTAATTACACGGGGAGAAACACGGTCGTGCTTTTGGGAGGACACGGCCGTGCTTTGGTGGACACGGCCGTGCTTTCAGCCCGTGTTTGCAGCTTGAATTTGCCAAACTCAATTAGCTCTCGGCAGTAAAGCACGGCCACAGAACACGGCCGTGTTCTGTTTTAGGTGTGCCCGTGTTTTGGCTCCAGCTCGACGAAATGACTTCCGAATGCCCCGAAACTCGTGCTTAGCCTTTCCTTTGAAGCCTGGGACCTGAAATATGACAAAATAGCACAACCCGGCGTAAAATAGGCCAAAAATACACTACTATGCCCCTCAAACGGATAAGAACTAAGCGTGCAAATAGGTGCAATTACATCGTTATCAAATTCCCCCACACTTAACCGTTTCCTTGTCCCCAAGCAAACCTAACCCAAACCAATGCAACTCTCCAGACCTCTATAGCAACAAACAACCCAGATTGTAGGTAGAGGACTTCCTAGATCATTTAGCAGCTTACGAGGTCAACCGACGCACAAGTCATCTCATAGCTTCTTCGGCGAGAGCACTAGTATCGACTCGGCATCATGTCAAATAGTGAACAGAGGACAAATGAATTGTGGATGAAGAGATTCTCAAAAACAAAGGATCATGGACTCACATTTTTCAAGGTGCTCTATTTTCTTCTTGAAGATGGTTGGAACCCCTTTTTTCTGTTTTGCTTGTTTTCTGTTATTTTTTTCTTCTCTTTTTTTTTCAAGGGTCCCAACCTGCTCTTACCGGCCATGCCAGGAGCGGATGTCTCGAGCCTCGTGCGGGGGAAAGACATGTAAGGGGGCTGGAGGTAGTAGGTGGAAATTGGGAACGAATTCCCGTCTCCCCTTACACACTTTCGCCCTATTCGCACGGGAGACGTTATTTTTCAGTACATTTTCGAGCACCCGTTATTTTCAAAACATGATACAAGAGTCCATGACAGGTAGAGAATCCACAACACCACACCATTCAAGGGTCCTAAGATCACTAATTCACTCAATCAACCAACACAATATGAAGAAGAAATGAGATTTCTTAAATGCATCAACATCCTCCATAGTGCTACACTACCTCCTTAGGTTGCATATTACTATAGAGACTGTCAATTCAAAGCATACTGAGCAGGCAATTGCACGGAAACACGTACTTGGAGCCCTCAAATTTAAAAATTTGTACAGTGGACTAGGCTCCAAGCACACAAACAGATCTAATGCAGTCAAAAGATAAACATCCCCCCACACTTAAGATCGACATTGCCCTCAATGGAGAAGAGGGAAGGGAAAGGGGAACGATGTTACCGGTATGCACGGATTGCAGGAGACTGGAAGCGGACCAGTCGAAGTGAAGCGGACTGGAGAGAGGACCAGTCACGACAAGCACAACTAAAGGAAACCAAAGAGCTCAAACACAATATGCTAGGTCCAATGGTCAGCCCAATAATACATCATCCAAAACAAAAGCAAACAAACCAAACCCAAACTGGTTTACAATCCGACTCAAAACACAAGAAAGAAAGTCAAACCGTGGTGGGGTTGCCTCCCCACAAGCGCTTCTTTACCGTCTTTTTGCTGGACGCCCATGGTGGATACTCAGGGAGGTGCAGGAACAGGTGCCTCCAAGAGCGGATCCACGTCGCTCTTGAGGTACGGCTTCAGGTTGTGGCCTTGCACCCGACGGATGAGACCACCATCATCGGTCAGCTCGACCTGGCTATCCGGCAAGATGCAGGCGAGTGAGTACCCGGACGGCCAGGGTGGTCGTAGTGCAGAAGGTGGGACCAGCTCATAGTGGTCTCCACCTTTCTTCCGAACAGGCTTAGCAAACTGCTGCTTCGGCCGCCACTCCACCTTGATCTTTTTGTTCGGCGGCGAGGCTGGATGGAGTGGCGGCGAAGGAATGATAGGAGGGTCCTGCAAAATAAGAGGTGCAGAAGGATACACGACAGGCTCGTGTACCTGATCAGAAATTGCATGCACAGGTGTGACAGCAATCATAGCACAGTGATCAAATTCAGTCACAGAAAAAGTAGCCTGTTCATTCCCAGCACGCAAGATCAGTTTACCATCATGCACATCAATAAGTGCCTTGGCGGTGGCAGGAAATGCTCTACCCAGAATCAAAGGCACATCCACATCCTCATGTATATCAAGAATAACAAAATCAACCGGATATGTGAATGCACCGACCTTGACAAGCAGATCCTCTATGATTCCCCTAGGATGCACAATGGAACGATCAGCTTGCTGAATGCTCATCCTAGTAGGGCTAAGTTCACCTAGGTCTAGCTTTTTATACAACTTATATGGCATGACATTTATGCTAGCGCCTAGGTCCGCCAAGGACTTGCCTACATGCATGCTGCCAATAGTAAGAGGGATAGTAAAACTCCCTGGATCCTTGCGCTTTTCGGGCAGCTTATTCTGCAGGATAACAGAACACTCCTCACTGAGCATCACTGTCGAAAGATCCCCAAGTTTCTTCTTGTCGGTGAGGAAGCCTTTCATGAACTTGGCATACTTGGGCAACTTCGACAGTGCCTCCACGAACGGTATGCTGATGTTGAGCTGCTTCAACATTGCCATAAACTTGGCCAACTCAATCTCCAGCTTGTCTTTGTGTAGGCGAGTGGGGAAGGGAAGCTGGGGCACATGCTCCTTAACCACTGGTTGTGGCTTGGGAGCAGGGACTTCCTTCTCCACCCGCACTTCTGCATCGTCGGCTGGCAGTGCTGAAGCAGGTAGTGGTTCCTCCTGTCTGGCCGGGACAGGATCAGCAGATATGGTGTTACCGCTCCTGGTAAAAATGGCATCCAGCTGCTGGAGCTGGTGAGAATCCCAAGGATTCGGGATAGTGGTGGCAGGCAGAGTCCCCGGTGCCCTGGTGGAGTTCTGGCGGGCCAAGATACCCACCTGGTTCTGCAGATCTTGTAAGATGACACCCTGGTTCCGCTGACCTGCCTCCAGTGACGTGATAGCAACCTGAGTGCTAGTCATGAATGAAGCTAGAATATTTTCCAGCTTTGTCATCCGGTCATCTGGGGCAGGGGCTGCTGCTTGCTCGACAAACTGGCGCTGGGGCTGCTGGAATGGTTGCCCCTGCCTAGGCTGGTAGGGCTGCTGCTGTGGGGCTGGCCCCTGTCGAGCCTGGAAGGGCTTCCTCTGCGGAAAACCACCGGCTGGTGCTGGGAAACCAGGTGGCTTAGTGGTGTTGCTGCTCCAGGCGAAGTTGGGATGCTGGCGCCACCCCTCATTATAAGTGTTGCTGTACTGGTCGAGGCGCCGAGAATTGGCGATGAAGTCCAACTGCTCTTGGGGAGTGGTAGACTCCCTCATAGCCTGGCAGTCCTCCACTAGGTGATTGGAGCTCTCGCACCACTGACATTGAGCTACTGGAGGTGTAGCCAA